TTATCATCATCATCATCATCATCATCATTATCATCATCATCATCATCATCATCATCATCAGGCCTTGTGAGCCTGGTAGATTTACAACTAGTAAGGTGTGATTCGGCCGGGATTACGGCCAGTGCCTTGGCGATTGGTGGCCCACCCAGACCCTCGCTCCGGCCAGCCGTCGGCTCTACTCGGTTCCTGTGCGGGGGTTCGGCATCTCGTTCGAGACTGTACAGGCCCAATCCGGACTCTGTCTCGATGCGTGTCGTTTGCGCTTGCCTATACCAGACGGCTTCGAGGCCTCGGTACCTTCGGCCATCCATCGGTCGTGGCCGATTGAGTAGCGAGCGGCTGGGCCAGCCAAACTTGCAGGCCTGGCCCCAATTGTCTCGACTAAATTGATTTAATCCCACTTAACATCAGCCAATTCTCCGGCAATTCACATGTCCGGCCGGTCAGACCCACGGGCCGACGGATGGGCGGAGAAACAGGCAAACAAATGGACATACAGGAGGATAGTTGGGTGGAGACACAGTTGGTGTGGGCTCATGGGTGAGTTATCGCCATTGTGTCGGCTCAAGCCCTCCAGCGTCGAGTCGACGTCCAGCCTGAGTGCCGGTTAGTGTGTGTGTGTGTGTGTGTGTGTGCCGTGGGCACACAGCTGCAATTGGGACAGCCGTGCTCACGTGTCTGCACCCACTCGCACCCACATACATGCAGGCATGCCTGAAGGCTACCTTGTGCGTGTGCTGAAAGTGTCGTCATGCCTACTCGTTTGCCGGTTGTCTGCGCGTCTGTGTTTCTGGGGCTACGCGTGTCCTACCTGCAGTCTCGATTTTGTCTCGAGCCCCGTAAATCAAGTCAGCTTCAGGCAGAAGCGATAATTTTCGTCAATTAGCCAGACGACACATGCTCATCTCATCGCCCCACGGCCCGGTCGAGCAATGGTTGATGTGACCAATTCCGTTTCGCATGGAAGAACATGATGAAGAGATTCGTAGGTCAATCTCACCAGAAGACGCCGGCTGATTCACGTTGTACTGCGTCCAGGTTGATACAGTCCACGAGACATCTTCCAACGTTTCGGGCGAAGACAGACTGAGCCATTGTTCGTCATTTTACGAAAATCGTCGGAACAAAAGCCTTAAGCTAACTCTAAGTTAAGAAGACTAACCGGATTTTTTTGTATTATAAATATACGTGTTGGGAGTAAAAGTTAAAATATGGATGAATATATAATGTTTTGGTTAATTCAAGTATACTCGAGTGTGTCTCTATGTGCATGCATGTTGACGACTGTACGTAAAACCGGCAATAACTGAGAAGAAAAGTTGGGTTTCGAGGAATCTATTGTTTCA